GGAGAACAATTTGATAAAATCTCTTGAAACTTTTCTGATTTTGATCGTGATGGCTTCTTCATTCACCGCAAATCCCGATATGAACTTGAACCCATTGCGCAAAAAGCGAAGGAAAATCGGGAGGGAAACCCAGTCCCAAATGAATACAACAGAGACGACGGGTCGTGCTCGCGCTAGATGGGAAACCGAGACAGAGCAACAGATCTACTCGTCGAAGCTCTTCGACGCTCTCCGACATATCCGCCGTTCAGACTCCTCGTCTCCCTCCGCCTCTGGTCGCGCCGTGCGTGAGGTTTCCAACAGAGTCCTCGCTGTTTCAGCCAAGCGAAGGACTCGCTGGAGCCGGGCGATCCTTTCGGGTCAACTCAGCCTCCGAATCTCTCAGATCAATAAGAAACACAAGAAGGCATCTAAACTGACAACCTGTGGTTCCAGGTCGAAGAAACTGGCTGTTAAGAAGAAACTGCCGCCTGTGCAGAGTAAACTGCGGGTTTTGGGAAGGTTAGTTCCTGGTTGCCGGAAGCTTGCATTGCCTAACCTTCTAGAAGAAACGACTGATTACATTGCAGCTCTACAAATGCAAGTCAATGCCATGACTTTCCTCACTGGCCTCCTTACCTGCGGCGGCTCATTAACCGCTTCTTCTGATCGGCTTGGCTCGGATCAGTAGGGAATTAGTTATATTGGTATTTTTTTTATTTTGAATATTTTTGAATTAAAATTTTTTTTTTTTGGAGAAAAACGCCTATGTTAATAATTGTGTACATGCTACCTTATTTTCATAATGAGCGCGTTTTACAATTTTAACATTTTTCATTTGTTTGGGGTATAGATTTTTAAATTCTTTTAAAAAAAAAATAATAATATGCAGTCATCCATTATATCGATAAAATAATTTTGAATGCACCATACATTCTTCATAAAAAAAAAAATAAAAAATTAATTGATTACAAAATTTATTCTGAAAAAATCTACATTAAAAGACTGAATATCTTATTGCATTATTTCATTTGAAGGTAATTTGTTACAAAGCACCTGCTTGTTTATTTTCAGTTGTGTACACGATTCAACTGTCATTGTTACAGGTGGTGATGGAGAAAGTTTCTTTTTGTGGTCTCAATATCCTCATCTCTTTAATCTATGGAAAATGATTCAGTGACAGAAGAGGGTTGCACACCTCGGTGACCGACCTTCACAAGGGCGTGCGACCGACGTGGGACCCACGTGAAGTAAAAAATGGAAAAAAGCCTCCCCCCCCCACCCAATGTGTGTATTCTGTGAGGAGGGGTGTCACACCCCCCTGTTACTGAAGCACGGTCCTTAATCTATATCTTTCCTCAATTATGATTTACAAACAAGCTCAAAAATAGGGAAGACAAATGTCGACACGTGATTGGACAATTTGGAAAAAAATTCAAACACACACTGTCAAGTCAATCTATTTATCATCATGATCTTTCTTTAGTATAATCCATAGCTTCGCTTCGAGGGATATGTTCGAATATGATTTAAATAAACACAATTTTTATAAAATGATGACAACAAAGCATACAACTTGGAATCTTTATATGTACAAGTTTAACGAACTTAATTAAATATTAAATTTCGCAAGCTATACAAGATTTGATGCTATCTTGAAAAAGAATTAATAGCAGAAAATCCCCTTATTTGAAACATTTTGTATGAAAAGCCCTTGTCGTCAAGTTTCGTCAAATTTTTCATTAAAAACTATTAAAAAAAACTGTTAAAAAGAAATAATTGCATTTCAGTACTCAAATTTTTTTATACGTGCCACTTACAATCCCAAATCTTTCCAACTTTATTTTTCACCTCACCCCACCTCATTTCATCTTCTTCCCCAATACTATGGATTCCAATTCCGATCTCGAAGAAAACATTTGGTAAATTCACTTTTTTTTTCCCTTAAATTTTTTCGATCATTCATGATATCATGAGCTTTATTCTAGATCTTAAACCTTACAACTTAATTCAATATCTGTACCGTGCAACCAAAAACGAAGGCATATGGTTTTCCAGGTACTGCCCACAAGTATTACAATCCCAGCGTTTTTGGTTCTCACATCGACTTAAGGTTGAACCCCCAGAAGATGATGTTCCAATCGAAGAAGCTATCAGATCTCTGTACTAACATTGTTGTCCCCTCAGTTCAAAATCTCTGCTTTCGAAAAAGAATCCATAACTACAGATATATCTAATATCTGAAGGAACAATATACAAGGTGGTTTTAAATCTACATAATATTTTCTAATCTGAGATTGCCACACCAGTTTCATATTCTAGGGTTTCAAATTCGTATGAAAATTGAACAAGGACAAGAACAGAAGGAACAATAGACAAGGTGGTCTTAAATCAAGTAAATTATAAAACCATCAATATTTATTCATTTAGGTCTTTGATGAGCCAATTTTCAAATGGAGATCATCAAAATAAAAAGAGAAAAATGATCCATTTTTGTACAAAACAAGATAAAAGACTGAGAGGAATTCTATAGTTAATGTGATAATGGTTTGAGTTGGGTGTGATTAAATTGATGGGAGAGGAGAGAGAGAACTCTACTGTGCAATGCTTGAGTTTTTTCTTGCTTCAACAATACCATAAAATCTTGGGTGTTTGAATGAGAGAATTAAATGGCACATATAAAAAAAATTGGATTTAATTTATGCAAAACAAATAAATAAAAATTTGGGTACTCAAATTGCAATTATTTATTTTTAATTTTGACAATTTTTTACTGTTTTTAACGAAAAATTTGATAGAATTTGACGGTAATGGGATTTTTTGCACAAAATTTTTCAATTATGAGAATTTTCTGTTATTTTCAATAGGTAAGAAGAATATAGCAAATGAAAACGTTTTTAGAGGATTTTCCTATTAATCCTATATACAAATTAGGCGGAAAATGGTGGGGGAAGCCCCACAGCTCTGGAAGTTAGCAAAATCCGTCAAACACAAAGCCGCCCGCCATGTGCTATCAGGCAGCCCCACCCACTTATGGCACATGTGAGATGGTTGTCAACATTCAAACCGATAAGCTTTAGCTTTTCAATATCATTTAATTTTTCCATGAATATACTTTTATGGTCTAAGATAATTCTTGCGACCGTTCCCGTAAAATTAGTCAACGATCCAAAACAGAGATGCCTCCCCTTCGAATCTTTCGATCATGCATGACGTGTATAGTAGAAATCACTCATCTCACATACTTCACGTGTGATCAAGACTAATCAGTTCTCCTTTATCGTGGAATTTCTCACCTCTAATCCCACCATTAGTACAGAAGGGAAATGGAAAAAGGCCAAAAGGACCCCAACTCCACCCCTCTTTCACTCAAGCATCAACATGTGTGCCAACTTCACCATCCCAAAATTAATTGTTCAAAATTGAGATTTCAAGAATGAGCAACATCACCATCACAATTAGGTATTTTTTGGAGCTAAAGAAGTTTATAATGGTGTTGATCTTGAAGGACCACATACAATGTTACATCGTGTAGGCTTTCTTGGACCAACACAACAACTTATAATGTGTGCGCTTCGTTTCTTTATTTTTGCATGTCTACAGCTTTTATGTATAAGCCCACGTGGTGCATTCATGTGACTATTATGAATAAAGTCATAGAAACAGTGTCTCCTACTATCATAATGGTTAGCAGCAACTCGAAAAATAAAAGAACATAAAAGATGAACTTATTATCGATAGACGTACCAGAATAGTCGTGGCATGAAATATTCTTCAAACAAATAAAACATAAATAAATATATTTATCAATGATATGATTACATACTTAGGTATGACACGAGAACAAAAAAATGAACTCAAATCTTATCGTAATTGCTCTGGGATGATGAGTGCAGCATATATATGTCTAGGAATATAAATGCTCATTTTTTAAGGTTGAAGACCAAGGTACAATTCAACCCGAAGGTTAACAACCCCCGTTGCTAATTTCCCCAGTTAAATTCATTCAAATTCTTTGAATTGAAACAAGGTAAAACCCTACAAATAAAGCATTATAAAAAATATGGTTCTTGCACAAATTTGCAGCAGCATCATCCATAAAGTAAAACAATTTATACGGATATGTGCATCTTTTCGGTTGAGTAAACAACTACCAATCACCAAAGGAATGTCCATAGGGAGGGGGAAAAGAGTCGCTAAGATTTCACTGGTCAGCCCTAGGCCTCCGGAGTCCAAGCCTATACTTGTTAACGGTTCTGTGATTTTTGGGGCTCAAGGCGAATTTCATAAATTAAGCCCCAAAATTGTAGTATGAATGCAAAATTTGTTAGTGTATTACAGAATTAATAATTTAATTACCTAACAATAAAACAACAATAAAATGTATTATACAAAGGATTTATATTATAATGAAATTACAAAAACGACAATGTTCCAAATGTTTTATCGACCAAAAAAAAAAAGGAAGAATGAAAGAGGCTAAAATCTAAGGCCCCCTCCAATGTTGGGCCCGAGGGAGCCTCTATCCAAAACCGGCCCCGCTTGTGGGCATACTTCAATATCAACTTCAACTACAAAAATAAAATTAGTCAATTTTAGAGGTTTCCCTGCATGCATTGTGAAGTAGCTTTTGGAAGTAACATATAATACATTCTACCTCGTGTTATGCTGTGTCTAATTTATTGAAGCTCCAGTTCCATGGCCATCTCTCACAACCCAACCAATCCCACCCCTCAAAAGAAAACAAAGTAAATCTTACTATTGTATAGGTCTAGAATAGCTAATAAATGACCATTTAGATTAAGGCAAAGAATGGATGTAGTAAATTTGAGGAACTCATGAGCAATTTGCTCATTTCGGTAGGAGGTGAGCACTAGTGATCAACAAATTGAAAGGATATTTCTCTGTACTGGTCCTAGTCAACACACATTGCATGTTAAGCCCTATAAATATGCTAAATTTTAAATAAAGTAATTCAACATATATATTGATAAAGTCATATTAAAATTAACATTAAGCGACTGTTTGAGCCCCATTTTTTTTTGTTAAGAATGCATTTTGGAATAGTAGATTAATAGAGAATGTGTGGTTAAAAAAAAAGAAAAAAAATTGGGTTTATGTCATTATGTGTAATATTATTTTATTGCAGAATATATAGTTGAAAAAAAGAAAGAGAAAAATGTATTTTTCAAAAATAATGGTTATCAAACCATGGCTAAAGAAAGAACAAGTATTATTATTGATAAAGCCAAGAAGCACAATCCATCAAACAACTTAACCTATTGGACCAAAGAGCCTTCCATGCTCTTTGAATTAAGAAAACACATTTCACTATCTTATAGCACCACTTCTTTCTTTAGTTTCACTTCATATACATCACTCACTCTTCAACTTGAACTTGACCTTCCTCCATCACACCTTCAGCAAATATCTCCTCTTCTAAGGTGGCAGAGCTGGTGGCTTCCTAAAAATAGAAACTTAAAGAGAACGCATTTGATACCATTATAGGTGGCCATTGGGTTTGAAGTGAACAATTGATGCCTCAAGTTTGGCCATTGATTTCTTGTATTGGCTTCTACGAAATGTGGAGCACATAATTGTTTATAGATTCTTCAGAATATGAATATAACCTAATTCATTTAACTAAAATTAGGTAAACTCGGTACTGGAATAGAAATTAAAACCTCTAAT